ATCAAAAAGTTACCTTTATCAAGAGTTTGTCAAGGGTGTGGTCTAAGGAGGATGGGTCCAGGTTGGGTAGAAACTGTTCTTTACTCAAGATTGAAAGGATTCGCAAAGCAAGCTCAGATGTAATGAGCTCCCTTCCATGCTGTCCAAAACTCTGGAAGACAAGGAATCATCTGTCAAAAACACCAGCCATTACCAATCTGAGATTATCTATACGCTAAAAAACAGATTATAAATATTCTGTAATTCATTACTACAGTTTGATCTAGTGTTGAAGCATATGGAAATCCCCGCCTTTGTTTAACTTGAAAAATCAAAGAACATTAAGGCCTATAAACAGCCAACCCTGAATGCAAAATCTAATTAATAGGAATTCAACGCATAAAAATACATTAAAAACTTACAAGAAGTATCCGAAACTTTGGCCTGTCATCATTCTCTTGCCTTCTCCGGCAATAGGTAACTACTGCGATCTCAGCAGAGTACCCCTTGTTTCGAGATTTAATTGTATCGAACTGTCATTAACATCAAAGTTTTAGGAAACTAAATGAATTTCAGGAAAACAATAAACCGGCAAAGGCAACCTACAGTGAGCCGGTCTGGGTGACGAAAGACCAAAGCTTTTATTTCTTCCATCAAATCCCCACTGCAGACCAGTAAAAGGAAAGTCTGATTGTTATATACATATATACGATGTTTTCAAGGTTAAAAAAACTGAGAAATTCATAACAAGTTGACATCAAGTAAACCAAAGATATGAATTGTTAGTGAATAGCCAGAACAAGATTCAGGCATTCAGTTCCCTACAATTTCTGAACAACCAACCATAGAGTCAGTCAGTATCAGCCCTAATTCCTTCCACGAAGAAAACAAGAAATGAAATAAATATACAGAAAACCCATTTTAAGATTCAAAGAAAAATCAATGAATACACTTCCAATTCAGCGCAACCCAGAGGAGCCAGATTAATTCAGGCAAAAAAGACATATGGGAAGTGCAAAAAGATCGGAACACAGTAAAAAATAGAATAAGGGAAAGAAAAAGAGAGTAGACGTCACCTGGAATGGTACAGATCACGATTAATGGGCGTGAAAGAAGAGTGGGTGAGATTAGTATTGCCATGAACGACCAAGAAACCTTGCAACCAAGCAAAGAAACACAAACTGATGGATAAGGGAGAGGAGAGGATAAGGAGATGAGCCATGCCAGAGCCAGTCAGACCAAAACCAAGAAGAAGAAGAAGAAGAAAAGAAGGAAAAAGTTGATCTCTTTTATTTAGTTTTTTTTTTTCTTTTCGTTGAGTTTTCATTATTCCATTTTCAAGCTGCGTGGCTAAAGAAGAGAAAGGGAAGAGGGTTAACTCTTCTTCTGTCAGTTTGTCCTGTTGTTCCAACTTCCACGTTCAACGGTCTTGATAGCTTCGCTTAATTTTTCATTTTTTTCCCTTTAAATTATTATTTACACAAGGTATACATCGATCGACTTCTTTTTCTCAATTCAGTCAGTCAGACACTCATTGCATTTTTTAATTGGTCCCCAAGAGCAAGAAGACCGGCCTTGGCTGGTTTCGATCCACTGTGGATCGTCCCACAACAAGGAGATCAGTTAGATTTTGAAATTCATTGACCCGAAAAATCAACAGTTGTTTTTTATTTTATTTTTTTTAAATTAAAATTATTGTATTCTTTTTTCGTTAAATGTTGCATACATTCCTTAAAGACAATCTCACACACACACACATATATATATATAAGTAATGCTATTTAGACACACAAAATTGGTCATAATAGCAAATTATTTTAGGTAGCAGTTGACGTGGTCATGTCATATCAATTAATGAATATTATTATGTGTATTTTATTTTTCTTTCTTTCTTTTTTTATAATAATTATTATAAACAAAAAAAATAAAATTGAAATAAAATTCTTTTTTTTCTCCAATAACTATTTTGTGTTAAGAATTGATCACATACTTTTAATCTTGACCGTTGAATTGTATTCATTAAATATGTTAGTAATCTCTCAGTTAGGCTTGTAATTTACAAGTGCTGAGCTGTTATGTTTCCAGGTTGAGTTAAGCTTATTATTTGTGAAAGAGTAATGTTAGTAGGAAGGTGATATTTTTGTACCACAAAAATGTGAAATGAGATTAACAAGTTAACCTGTCTTGTTTGTTTGCATAAAATAAATATTAATGATATATTGTACAATAATATGATATCAAAGGAGTAGTAAAGGAGTGGGGTCGAATGAAACGAATTTTTGGAGTAGGGGATTGGATTGGAGAAGAGCCATGTGATGTTGGTCCAACGTGACCCATGCTTCTATTCCATCACCCAACTTGGTGTCCACCAAAATGATGAGATTCATGAAGACGGAATTACCTGTGGAAGCAATGCTGCTGACCCAGATTGGCTTTCCCCACCCAAGCAAAATAATCTTTTTTTTCTTCTTCTTCTTCTTTTGTTTTAATTATTTCTTTCAGACACTTCAACATGAGAGACTTCCCCTCCTCGCCTGATCGCATTTTCTTAACAAATCCACCATCAACTTTTGACAATGCATTTCTCAACTCACTCACCAACCCATGCAATATTCTTGATCCGGAGGCGGAGCTATTATTATTATTATTAGTAGCCACCACAACCATCTCCTCCTCCTCATCTAGCATTACCGTCGGACATCGGGCAGCCGCTATCCAAAGGAGGTTTCCAATAGAATTCTCCAAATTTAAATCCGCAGCAGCGGCAGTATCTGATGCTGCTGCAGCCTCATAAGCATCATCTAAGAATATCCTTGAGCGCAAGTTCACCGTGTGAGTCAGCACTGAAGGCCTTTGGAAACCATATTTTTGTTTAGAGGCAGCCATGGCGCATTGCCATATGAAAGCCGAAACCACTTCGACACGCGTGGGTCCACGTTTCAGTACTTGCACACATGATGATGAACTTTTGGCCATGTCCTTGAGGTTGGCTATAGCTGAGGCATCAAATACAAATCTTTTTGTGACGCATGAGGACTTGCCGTCCTTTATGAACAAGGAACCCCACATCGGAATTGATGAATCTCTAAGCCATAATTCATCGTTGGTGGGGAACAGACGAGTTGCAGCAAATAAATTGGGCCCTCCTATTATTGAAGAAGCTACGCTTGCATATGTTGTTGCGTCTTCTGTTTGATGATCATCTGAATCTGAATCTGATGATGATGATGATGATATTAATATTGAATCTGATGATGAGGAGGAGGAGGAGGAGAATGTTCTTAACAAAGAGCCGGGCCCAGGGCTGCTGTTGCTGCTGCGCACACGAGCAATGGCAGTCCAGGATTTGAGAAAGGTGCACAAAGCAGCACCATCAAGGATCTTGTGTGAGATGCATAGGCCGATGGCGATGCCACCACATTTGAACACATTGACTTGAATGTTGGTTACACTTGCACCTGCAGTTGTTACATCACAAGGGAGGAAGCGATGTAGTAGTAGCAAAAGGTCAGGTCGGCTGAGAAATTCATCAAGACTAGAGTAGTTAACTCGGGCTTCCACATAATGAGCTCCTTGGTCGTTGCAGTCAATGGACAGGTCATCTTTGATCTCCCCAGCAAGTGGGTAAAACCCAGTTAAGGTTTCTGCCAAAGAGGTCTTTAGCAAATGTAACCTGCTATTAATATTATCATCGTCATTTTCATTTATAGGAGGATGATAAAAGAGGATTACGGGAGCATAGGGAGCTGGTATGAGCTGGTCCAGAAGTGAAAGCTTAAAAATTCTCAGGTGAGAGGGTGTTGGGCAAGATGGTTTAATTTTCTCTTTGGAAATAATTTCTACTTCCATTTTCAATGTGTTTGGCAAAAGAATTTGTCATTTCAACTAGCTAGGTAGCTAGTTTATAAGCGGCAGAAAGGCATCTTTCTGCATTAGGTGCGGCGCCAGCTTCGCTTGTCATATTATTCGTGGAATATTATATGAAATGCATATCAGTCCTTTTCCATAGCTAAGCTACCCTCTTTAATTTTTTTTTTTTTTTTTCTCTCTCTCTATATATATATATATATGTGATGTTTATCAGAGTGAAGCGTGCGTGCATTTGGTTCTCGATCGATGATCACCATGACTTCACATGTTAGATAAGAGTCGACGAAAAGCATGATGGTAACCTTTTTGTAGTTAAAAAAGCCATTGCTAATCCATTACATATGACATATGATATGAAAGTTATTGCCGATCGACATGATACCAAACTGCGTACGTACGTACACACTCACTCTAGTTATTCGTTTTCTATATAGCTCTTGAATTAATCATGATTCATGATTTAGACAGACAGACCCCCTTTAACTCGATATCATGTAGTGTAGGTAGGGTATCGTCCTCTCCTAAGCTTATCTCTTAGGCGCCCTTTGCTAATCAGGCGATTAATAAGAAGCTCCGCCAGCAGAGCCACTGTGTTTGTCCTAAGTCCTAACAATCAAACGCTTTGTTGACGTACTCCATGGATCAATCGAATCAATACTTTGCTCCTTTTCCTACATACAAGAAGGAAATTGGTGAATTTTCCCATGGCTTACATATAATTTGTCCATGGATCAAAATTGACAGAGATTTAAATGGAGTTGATAGCAGGGGACAACATAGAACACCACATTCTGGCCAAGGGGGCAAAGTAAATCACTTTAACTTCCAAGGGGCAATATGAGTTAGGAGGCACTGTAGCAAGTAAACATATGAAGTAATAGGAATCAATAAACAAAAAGTTACATAGATTGTTGGTAAATGAATTTTGTAATTTGGAGTTTCGTAATTCATCATGAAACTCTAAAGTGCATTCATCACGAGGCTTGGCTTCAGCTAATCTACTAGGCATTCTTTTTAAGACCATGGGTTTCCCCATTTTGGGGTTGTGCGAATGAATTGTTACATTTAACGTTTGTTAAATGATTTTCGTAATTCAGGGTTCCTATATTCACCAAACAAAAAATGAGAAACTTCATAAGCAGATTTTAGGAGCTCTATGAACGATTTTACCTTCTAGCATTTCGCTAATCAATTTTCGCATTTTCGGGGCTATGTGAATGAATTATTTCACTTTTTATGGTTCTGCTAATGAAATTTGACATGAAGAAATTTTTGCCTATATGGGTTGCTAGAATGAAATTTCACATTTTGGACCCCGTTATAAAATTTTCACTTTTGGGGTTTCACAAAACTTCGTGTTATGGAGTTTTTGATGTTTCACAAATGCATTTTCACATTTTGAGATTTTACTAATGGATTTTTCATATTTTGGGATTCCAATGAATTTTCGCATTTTAGGGTTTTGCTAAATAATTTTGACATTTTGGGGCTTTAAATTTACGCATATTAGGGTTTAGGTTTTGATGGTTTGGGGATGAAGTGAAGAAGACGATAGATGAGTGAAGAAGATGATGAAGGAGCATAGTGCGACTTAAGAGACAAGCGGTTGGGAGAAAATAGGGAATACGAAAAAGAAGTGATATGTGGACAATATGAAGTATTTATAGAGGATATTTTAGCGATAATTTTAAAAAGAGGACATGTTTGCACAAATTATACAAGCGAGGAGCAAATTTCCCAATATAACAAACAAAAGGAATGACTTTGAATTTGAACAATATTTTCATTTAAAATACACAAAAGATGTGTCAACCCCTTTTTTCCTCGGCCTGACCTAATCTTCCTACGTGACGCTTCAAAAGGTGAAACTCTCCAGATCGATGAGGGGATCCAAGCCTCCAAATGTCGATTCTACAACCAACTCGCTTAAGTTAAAAGCGCGGTTAGGCACCTTTGATAGATCCTGATGAAGGGAAAGAAAGGTGTGGTTATTGACTAGGGAAGAAAGAGAGGCAGGAACTTAATAAGACTTATATAAAATGATTGTTATCTTGCGACTTTCCACTTAGTGCCAATTTGACATTGCTTATTTGGGATGATAAGTGATTTTTTAAAAATTTTGAGAAGTCCAACCCGTTTGGTAAGCTGTGAGAAAATCACTTATTGTTAAAAATTGCTGTGAGAGAAAGCTATAAGGGAAAGCAACTAATGAGGTGCTTTCATTTTCTGATTATGCAGGAATCAGTTTCGAAGAGGCGCTGAGTTTAATGATTATGCGGCAATCATTTTTTGATTATGCGTAAAATCAATACCAACAACACTTTTAACAAAAATTTTACCAAACGCCAAACTGCTTTCTCTCACAGCTGATTTCTCCCACAGCAAATCTGACAGCGATTATTTTCACAGCACAGCAATGTCAAACTGGTCCTTAGTGGTTGAATATGAATTCACAGTAGTTGTGATGTTAATGCAATTAACATTAACAGCACCAGTGATGTGAATTGGATGGACTTACACACACAGAGATGAGTATCTGATCCAACTCGAACACACCATATCTAGTCCAAAAAGGAACAAACTTATTTTATAAAATACGGTGCCCTAAACGAAAGCCAAAGCCCATTGTTTGTAACCCAATATAGTATTCTTGAACTCTAATAAAAACAAAAAAGTTTAATTTTCAGACTATTTCACCAAATCTTAAATTTCCGGCATCATCTCTATCCTTTTCTGTATTTTTCTATTAATTTTTTTCCTTCAGTTTTATTATGAATGTAAGTTTTAAATACAGCTAAAAGTTTAATTTTTTTAGACAAATTTTGAGCGGGATATCACCAAATGGCGTAGTGAGACAGTAACACTCTATAATTTCTCAGTATAGATTAGCGCTTTAGTTGACAAATCCTCAAACAATAAAAGGAAAATCCAGGTATTTAATGAAAAATCTACCCTACCGTTTAAATTTCAAAGAATGCACGCTAGACCGTCCGATAAAAAATATGACCGTTGGAGGCGCTAGACCTTTTAATATTTCAAAGCCACTAGTTCTCTCACACAATAAAACCAAGCAACACAGATACCAATACAACGATAAAGTTAAGCACCTTCTTCTTCTCTGCGCTTTCTCTCTCTCTCTCTCTCTCTGGGTATTTTGCAATCTGCTCTGAAGTTTGAATACCATCAATCATCAATGTCAAAGATGAAACCGGATCGCAAGCCTCCGCTTGCTAAATCACCCATCAGGCTTCGACCCCGTCGGGTCCTCGGATCAAACTCAAACTGTATGCCAACCCCAGCAGGGCGGTCCGAGATCGGGTTCGAGCAAACCGATAAAATTTTAACAGGTCTGGTTTTTCGTTTTCGAATTCGGTTTTTAATTTTGGTATTGAAGTGAATTGATTATATCAATAATTTTGGAATTGGCTCAGGCGGTTCTTTAAGAAAATCGGAGAAAGCAAGGCGCACAGGCACATGGGAGATGGAAGAAGCGGAGCTTCGACCTGAATACCGCTCCATTTCGTGGGAACTGAGGGCTTTAGAAAAGATGGTAACTGGAGAGGAATTGGGCAAGGAAGATTATTGTGGTGGTGGTGGAGATACTGATAGCAGCAGCAGCCATAGGCTGAGTTCGTTGAATTCGAGTCCTTTGTTTGAAAGGGGTAGGTTTTACGAGGAGTATTCTGCTAGAAGGAATGAGCGGCTGAATAGGAATAATAAGAGCAAGGTAAAGGAGGGCGGTTGTGAGACAAATTATTCAACAACTGCCGCGTCTGCGTCCGGCTCTAAATATAAGTACAATAATAAGCTGGGTGTTACAGTTGAATCTGCCAAAAGAACCAGCACTCGTACTACTACTAGCAGTAGGAAGCTTCAAAGCTTGAGGAAATCAGTATCTGCTGCTTACTCAGTGGTGGAGACTCAACAGGCTCCGTCTCCAACTCCGGCTCCGGCTCCCAGGTATATGCTGAGAAGCTTGATGAACAAAGAGAATATGAAGCCCCCTCTGCCTCAGCCTACTTTGTACTCCTCTCATCAAAATCATAAATCTGCAAACCGTGGGGGACGGAAAACTGGAGCTCCAACTCCAACTCCAACTCCAACTCCATCTCCAAGGGTTGGGTATTATTAGGCAAGATTTCATTTGTTTGGGATGTTTTACTTGATTGACTTGATTTGATGAACCGTATCTTACTCATTCAGGCAGGCAAATTTGGGTTGCCTTGCCCCTGTTTTCTCTGTTTCTGAAACTCAACTTATATAAAATTGATGTGCCTGCGTGCCTATTCTATTAATATTATCAGATCACCCTCTTTCCTTTCTTCCTGCTATTTAATTTAGGTTATTATTTGGAACAGGAAGATGTTATTGCTTGAAATAACCCTTATCTTTTTTGCGATATATTCTTTGTTTCTCAAGTCGCTTAGCTCCTTTTCAACCACACAATAGAGGAGCAAGGGACGGTCAACCATAGAATTAGGAGGAGGAGGAGGTCTCTTCTACTGTGAAAGCAATACAAAAGAGCAATTACGAAGAAAAAAAAGGTATGATGGTAATGACCAAACCAATACCATACCACCTTCATACTTCAGAAAGAGAGCATACGCGTAGGCATACCAGAACCATCTTCAGTAATTGCAGCTGATGGATCGGATCAGATAGTTGGCAAGCATAAATAAACAACAGCTGAATGAACAATAAACTTATCCTCTTTTTCATTTCTCTCTCTGCAATTTCTTTTTCTTTCGGTTCTACAGCACCTCTGTACCACAAAGAGTCCATTACATCATCAATGTTGTTGTACCGGCCAACCTTAGTTTGGAACGGTAATATAGGAATCTCACATTTGGACCAGCATCACAATAGGAGCTTAGGAACTTCTTACTCCTTTGACAGCTTGAATTCGAAGAACTGGACCACCACTGCAATGGGAGCTTATAAGCTACTATGAAGTCAACGGTATCTTGACGACTTATCCCTAACTTCGGGGCATTTGCACTTACAATAACTGCTCTACAAGCTGTATCAAGGGCGCAAACTTTTCAGTGTAAACTATTTCACAAACGGGTTTAGGGTTTAGGGTGGAAATAATGGAGTACATACAAGTATGTGCACAAAGTTGGTGAGAATAAAGTTACTGATTTTAAGTGCGGCAAACTCAAATTTCCACCCTATCAATTCCAATGTCATCCTTATTCTCTAAGTCCCTTCGAGAGATTATATTCATGAGCGTCCTGGTGGCTTGGCCAACAGCACGAGAAGTCTTCTTTGCTGCTCCAACAACAGCAGGTTGCAAAGAGATGATGGGCAGGCTCGCCCTCTCTTGAATCATAGCTGTATCACAATAGATTATTAGTACTTGTTTAGAAGTGGGTGAAGATCAATGGAAAGCCTGTATTAGGCAGAACAGCAGCAGATCAAATTCTATACAAGATGGAGCTTAAAACATACACATAGTCTGCTGTCGAGCAAGTGAACCAATCTGCCGAATCCCAGCTTCCGCAGCTTGAACAGCTTGAGTGGATTTACTGACCCCATCAGCTATCTCTTGGCTGAGCGAAGAATGGAATAAAAGCATGACATACATAATACAATTTAGCAATTGAGATATAAAACTCACACAACATGAATGAAACACACATAAAGGAGAAAATTAATAAGAAAGGTTTGACAGATATGACTGATAGCCAATTGCCTCATGAAATCTTCACTATTCAATTATAAAGAGAAGCTATAAAGTAATGCTGAAAGGTTCAATAGCACTCAATCGATTAATCAATGGATCATAACAACGAATCAGAAAGAAAGATGTAATTATCACCTTAGATCACTCAGTTCCAGTGTAAGATCACTTATTTCCATGCCTGAAAGCCTAATGGCAACCATAGTACTAGGGAGTTCTTCACGAGCTGTATCCGCCAGCTTTGAAAGAGATACTGCAGCTCTCCCCATTGCCTACAGAATATACAAGAAACGAGCCACATTGGAACCAGAATTTGGACCAAATTCCAAACATGAGATTCAAACCAAAGAAAAGATTTTTAAAGTGACTTACAGCTATCAAAGAATGGATAGAACGATCAATTGCAAACGAACCAAGACCCAAGAACAAATAGTAGAAAGATAGAAATAGAAGTGAATAGAATATGATTCAGGGTTTAGGGTTTAAGTGAAAAATATTATCCCATTGTAAAGTCAAAACTCCCTAAAACAAATTAACTGATTTTCTAAGCACTTGCTTTTTCCTTTAAACTGAAATGCAGAATGAGCAGACGACAACTTACACAAAGCGTTGGTACAGCTGCAATTACAAGGCTCATAAATGCAACAGAAGTCTGCACACAATGAAATTAATCCATGCTCGTATCAGCAATGATGAACAAAATTAACTTCTTGATCCGTGACTCTTGCATCAAAATAAATAAATATATAAAAAGTCTTCAAATTTATCATTTATTTTACAGATTAATCCCAATTTCCACATCAAAAATAAAAATTTAAGTGATCTAAATATGGAAGAATAGAATTGAGGCCAATACCGTGCAGGCGATGAAGGTCAGGAGAAAGAAAGCTTGGTCGCTCAAGCTCAATTTGGCCACCGACGGACTCGGAACGCTAGGGTTTCTGACTTCCACATTCAATGGACCTTGCGACACATCATTATCGATTTGAAGAAAAGCATCCTTGGTGAGGTCCGTCACGGCCGGTTCGGACAGGGAAGACGACGTTTTAGTGGAATTGGAAGCGCAAAGCGTGAATAAACGGGACCGCTTTGAAGGCGAGGTCAGAGAAACAGAGCTGAATTTGCAGGGCCGGAGAAGATTAACTGAAGAAGAAGAAGTGTGTTTAGGATTTTGGGCACGGATTGGGGCTGAGAGGTGTGAGAAGTGAGCAGATTTCATTTTGCAATCAAAATTAATTAGGAGCTCAGCTTCAGAGTTGAGTAGCCGCCATTTTGGATAAGCTGGAGCCCGATGCTTGCTTCTTGCTAACTGCAGACTAACAGAAATTAATTAACGAAACCTCATCCCTTAACCATGAGGTTGGGAGTTCGATCCCCGCCCATGGGAATGGAGCACATTTCGTGGCCAGCTGTTTACCTCCTTTGGGAGAGCTCCCGCAGCGAAAGGGATTAGTCACTGCTGTCGGCGGTGGACACCCTTGGGTCTAACAAAAAAAAAAAAATAATAATAATAATTAACGAAAGAGAACTCGACTACTTCAGTATTGTCATCTGATTGGTAGAAAAGAAAAGGTGGGCCAATTTCCTTGGTTTTATATTATTTATGTTTGTGAAATTAAGACGACTTTATCTTTATGCAACCGAACCGAGTGAGTATGGCCAACCATTTTGAGATGAGTATCAGATTCGGATGAAAACAATGGAGAAGCTTATTTCAAGCAGGTACAAGGAAAGACCCTTGCCTGAGACTTACATATTCCCACCTGATGCAAGACCAGGGAAGCTTGCCGTTCCTTTGTGCAACAACATTCCAGTGATCGATTTGGGTGGTGGAGCAGAAGAAGCTTCTGAATCTGATGACCGAAGAACCTATATAGTTGAGCAAATACTCAAGGCTAGCCAAGAATTTGGATTTTTTCAGGTTATTTTTTTTACTTAGGCTTTAGAGCTCATTTCGTGGCCAGCTGTTTACCTCCTTTGGGAGAGCTCCCGCAGCGAAAATGATTAGTCACTGCTGTCGGCGGTGGACACCCTTGGGTCTAACAAAAAAAAAAAAATAATAATAATAATTAACGAAAGAGAACTCGACTACTTCAGTATTGTCATCTGATTGGTAGAAAAGAAAAGGTGGGCCAATTTCCTTGGTTTTATATTATTTATGTTTGTGAAATTAAGACGACTTTATCTTTATGCAACCGAACCGAGTGAGTATGGCCAACCATTTTGAGATGAGTATCAGATTCGGATGAAAACAATGGAGAAGCTTATTTCAAGCAGGTACAAGGAAAGACCCTTGCCTGAGACTTACATATTCCCACCTGATGCAAGACCAGGGAAGCTTGCCGTTCCTTTGTGCAACAACATTCCAGTGATCGATTTGGGTGGTGGAGCAGAAGAAGCTTCTGAATCTGATGACCGAAGAACCTATATAGTTGAGCAAATACTCAAGGCTAGCCAAGAATTTGGATTTTTTCAGGTTATTTTTTTTACTTAGGCTTTAAATTCTTCTTCTTAGGTTTAGGGTTGGTAACTTAAAACTCTGCTTAAACTGTCATAATTAAGTACAAAATTATGTTAATGTTATTTTATAGAGCAGGTAATTAATCATGGCATATCAGAACATTTGTTGAGTGAGACAATGGGTGTGTTCAAGGAGTTTTTTGAAGAGTTGCCTGCAGAGGACAAAGCAAGCCTCTACTCTGAGGACCCCAACAAAAGCTGCAGGCTCTTCACCAGCAGTAGCACTGGAAATTATGATGGGGAAGATGTTCATATCTGGCGTGACTGCCTAAAACACCCTTGCCATCCTCTTGAGGAATGCAAACATGTTTGGCCTCAAAAACCAATTAGATATGGGTGAGTGACATATGATGATGATTGTCCAAGACCAACCTTTAGATATATCACATATATATATACTTAGTGATGATGACAATGACATTTACAGAGAGCTTGTTGGGGCATGTTCCACACAAGTGAGGGAACTGGCTTCGAATATTTTGGAGCTAATCGGCGAAGGACTTGGTGTTGGAGCTGGGTATTTTAGGGATGAACTAAGCCAGCAAATGTTACTCTCAGTTAATTATTACCCACCTTGCGCAGAACCAAGTTTGACACTGGGATTACCTAAACACTGTGACCCAAACCTCATAACCATTTTACTTCAAGGGGATGTAAATGGTCTTCAAGTTTTCAAGGATGGGGAATGGATTGGTGTGGAGCCTCTTTCACATGCACTTGTGGTTAATGTAGGTTACCAGTTACAGGTACACTACACTACTACTAGTACTAGACTAGTGCACCCTTCTTTATGCTGAAGATTATTGCATTGTCCCTCATTTCCTTCTTTTCTTTACCATGACAAATTATGGTTGGAATGGGGATGTAGATTATCAGCAATGGCAAGTTGAAAAGTGCTGAACATCGGGCAGTGACGAATTCAAGTGAAGCTCGGATTTCAGCTGGGTTTTTCGTGATGCCTTCCAATGACTGCCTTATAGAACCTGCTGCAGCTCTTATTAATGCAAGCAATCCCCAACTTTATAAAGGCTTCCAATACAAAGACTTCTTTCTCAACTTCGGTACAAAGCTAGGTAAAACCGAACAAGTACTGGATCGCTTTAAGCTCCAAGCAAGGTTAGCTAGCTGAATGGGTGAAAAGGAATTTCGTGTTGTTGAGCGTTGCTCATTTGAATAAATGTCCTTTTGCTCTCTGCGGAGGCAAAAAGAGAAGATCAAGTTATGTATCCAATTTACATATGTTAAATTGCTCGTTTATGTGATAAAGCCAATTGTTATTATAATACGTTAGATTGTTTTTAACACTGATAGAAAACCCCATTATTTTTATTCACATCCACAATATACAGAGAGTAAAACTTTCAGTACAGTCATCTGATGACCACAGTTATATTGTTTTTAACACTGATAGCAAACCCCATTATTTTTATTCACATCCACAATTTACAGAGAGTAAAACTCAGTTCAGTCATCTGATGACCACAGTTATATTGTTTTTAACACTTATAGCAAACCCCATTATTTTTATTCACATCCACAATTTACAGAGAGTAAAACTTTCAGTTCAGTCATCTGAAAGTCATCTGATGACCCCAGTTATTGTTTTTAACACTGATAGCAAACCCCATTATTTTTACTCACATCCACAATATACAGAGAGTAAAACTTTCAGTTCAGTCATCTGATGACCCCAGTTATACTGTTTTTAACACTGATAGCAAACCCCATTATTTTTATTCACATCCACAATTTACAGAGAGTAAAACTTTCAGTTCAGTTCAGTCATCTGATGACCCTTCGCCACTCTTTTCTGCTTTTGGATTAATATTGCCATCATCTATCACGGAACCCAACTCTTCAAAATTCTCCTTCCCAACCACAACTTCTGCTATTGATGTCTCATCCACATCTGCCTCCCGACTTTCATCCACTCGATAATAAACCTTAAAAATTTGCAAAGAAACAATTAAAAATCAAATCAATCACTGATATTTCATTAGTGAAGTTTTAGGCAGGACGTGACATTTAGATATGTATTTGCACTGAAATAAGAAATACATCATAATAATGTTCAATAAAACCATAAATAATTTTTTTAAATTTTTTATAAAGATTATCATACCACGCATGTGTGAGGCGGTGAGAGTACTTTGAAGGAGTTGGGACGGTTGTTAAAATTAGTTTCAGGAACCCCTGGTATTCCTTCTGGGAATGTGAAGTGATCTACATCATGGCCTACCTGCCAGGTAGAGTGAAATCAACATAATCAATAGGCTTGCATCTGATCAAAAAGAGACATGATGCATTCCCTTTTTGTTTTTTTGTTTTTTTGTTTCTTTTGTTAGGCATTATCCTTAACAGTACTCTCCTTCACCCCAACCAGGAATAGGTATAGAAAGGAATCACTTACTCTTCCATGTCCACCAAACTCAAAAGCATCACTATCTAGTGCGACTCTGTACTTCCCAGGTAAGTCACACCCAACTTTATACCTGTATGTTTCATCACACAACACAAGTCACTCAAATAAACAACATTATTTGTGCAGAAGCAAACAAGCATGCAGATACTTCTGCAAAGGTAAGAACAAACATACCCATCATATGTGTTTTCTGGATGAAAATTGAACACAAAAACTAAATCTCCACGCTCAAAGACAATAACCTGTAACATCCAACAATTACTCAATGTTTCAAACAACAATCTTTGTTTACATTATCATTTAACTGGCTTATCTCTAATTGGGTTAAAAAAGAAGATTATCTGACCTTGTCTTCTTCATTTGTGCTACTCACTATCTGCTTTGTCGACGACAGGAATGAAAATTTTTCATCAAGCAAATTCATAGCTCTGTCAAATGCATTCATAAACTGGACAAGTTCCAAGCAAAAGGATGTAAGAAATGGTAAATATATTGCAAGTAAAAGCCGAAATTTCAACTATGCAACATGAAATCATATATTAAGATCCTACAAAAATACATGGTACACATGGGTGCCCTTTTGCATGATACAGAGGTGGAAGTGGCAGAGTCCATCAATAATGTCCCACCACGATTCCATGCCATAAGTTATCAATCATAAACATGCGCAGATTCTTAGGTTAGATATGGCACCTGATCAAACCATTATAACAGAAGAATCTAGGACATCAGATCTGAAATATAGATCAGATGGTCAAAGGCATGTATGGTCCTCAATTGCAATAAGTGTGACCTCAGAAGAAAAAAAAACAAAAAAGAGGAAGCTTGTTGACAAGAGCTTCATTTAAATATCGGCAACGACAATAAATAATACTTTGCCGGCCTAGTTGTCTATCTAATTTGTGTTAGTTTATATGCGTATATTGTAAGTATAGTAATTAAAGTTTTATGTGAATGTTATGTGGCCAGTTATCATTTCATCCTTCAATGATTACACTGCAAAAGGAGCCCATTGACAAAAAGAATAATAAAGTATGCAAAACATAGCAAATGCCAAAAACTAAAAATTTGTCTTCTAACCTTATATCTCAAGTGATCTGTATCCACCAGGTTCCATTGGCGTCTGCACTTTTCATAACTCCACCCATTGCCTTCTCTTGGAAAGTCGACCCATTCAGGATGGCCAAACTACACAAATCATTTAGTAAGAAAACTATCAAAAGAAATCTTGAAACTACAAAGCTAGCAGAAGGAATTATGGGGATGTACATTTGACTCTTAAGAAAAAGTGGGTTTTACATGATTGATAGGAAGAGCCAGTAAGCCCTTCTCTAGGGAACTCACATCCACTTATTTAGTAACCCTTAGTGTCTCTCCCTCCCCACACTTGACAAAAGGTGGTAATATAAAGGACACAGCCAGATCTCCTTCGCCCGTTATTCTCAGTTCCATGTGTTGCATGCAATTTAAGAGTGATAAAGAACCAAACTTTCTACTGGGTTGCAGCAGTACTTTTTCATATGTTCAAAATTTCCTCTCCAATGAAAAAACAATAGCTGCAAACTTGGCCAATGTGCTTACCTCATTTCCCATAAAATTAAGGTAGCCCTCACCTCCTAATGCCATTGTTAAAAAATGTATCATCTGCAAAAATGGAGACAACAATGACAACAAATTGATTTTTTTTTTTTTCAAAGAAGAAGAATGAAGTGAAGATTTATGGTAAAGCATTTAAGAAATGAATCTTCAAACAAATCTGACAGTAGTTCAGTTCTCCATATCCAAAAATCCAAGTCAGCCCCACAATCATTGTTAAGAAGAGTAATAAATTGCAATTTTGTCAGTTATATAGGCGGTGAACATGATTGGTGCAGTCTGATAGTCATACATTAAAAAAACAACAAAAAACAACATAAGAGTATAAGAAAGAGACTGTTCAGATAGACAGCTATGAACCAAAAAACAATATGCGTCAGATTGCTTCTTGTACAGAAGTAACAGAAAAAACCTTGTGAAGCGCTATCCCTCGCTCAATAGTAGGAGAAGCATCAGTTAAGCAAGACATGCCAGAATACATTTCTCTATCCATCAAAAAGAACGCAATTGTCTTGTCACCCACAATTGCCTGCAAGTGGTTACGACCAAAAGCAAGTAAGAGATAGAAAAGGGGAAAGGGGGAGCAATTTTGGCAACAATAAATGAGAAAATGAAACAAATGGAATGATATTATAAGTGTAGTTTGGGAAAGCCTATTCACTATGATAAAACTTGAAATCTCCTCTTCTTTTTGTCTCTTTCTTCATACATAATAGAACGACACATAGACACAAAAAGCAAAACCTCATACCTGGTCATGACTCTCCGCATAGGAGATACACTTCTCAGTGTATCTCCTATTTGTCAAGCTGCATGAAATTTCCTTCATTGACCACTCTTCGTCATTCTTGTTTTTCAGGTAATCAATCCATTTGTCAGGGATGGCCATTGCCAGCCGGTAATCAAAACCAATACCACCTTCAGAGACAGGCCGACCAAGAACAGGCATACCAGAAACATCTTCAGCAATTACAGTTGCATCTGGCAAAATCTTATGGATCAGATAGTTGGCAAGCATCAAATAAACAACAGCATCAACATCTGTTGCCTCACTAAAATACTCATGATAATCCCCTGTAAATGCCATGTTTATCCCATGGTGATGATATAACATTGAAGTTACTCCATCAAATCGAAACCCATCAAATTTAAACTCCTCCAGCCACCACCTCAAGTTGGATAAAAGGAAGCGGAGAACTTCCCAATTAGAATAGTTGAAAAGTCGGCTATCCCATAACTTGTGGTAGCCTCTATCCCCTGTGTGGAAGTAGGACTCTTGTGAGCTTTGACCAACTTCAAAGCCATTGAGGCCATCAGTAACGTTGTTACTTGCATGGCTGTGAACAACATCCATCAATACCCGAAGGCCTAGGGAATGGGCTTTATCAATTAGATATTTAAGGTCCTCAGGTGTTCCAGATCTACTGCTTACGGCAAAGAAGTTTGTCACATGATAGCCGAATGATGCATAATAGGAATGCTCCATCACAGCCATCAACTGGACTGTGTTATAGTTATTTGCTCGGATACGAGGCAAAACATCATCAGCAAATTCTCTGTATGAACTGATCCGGGGTTCTGAGCTACTCATTCCAACATGAGCCTCATATATTCGCGGAGCTTTGGGTTTTGGAGGATGAGGATGCTTAAACTGAAACCTGCATGGTCAAAACACTCTCTTGTTTGGATGAAATGGGCCAAGCCAAGGTAGAAGTTCCAAAAGATTATTTAAGTGTAATTTGCAATCTGACTTTTATAATATGTTATGAAGCATGTTTCTAGCTTTTGGACTTAGATGCAAGAATTTATGTTCCCCGGAAACTCTGCATATCAATTAACCATTTTTTTCACCTAATGCAACTTAGAAGAGGAAAGTATGAATAAATGGCACCTTTCTGATGGTGGTGGATCCCAGTACACACCATCATATGGTGCTGCGAACCTGGCTGGGTCCACGGTGGCATATTTAATCCAAGCAGGGATACGATCAACCCAAACTCCATTTCCATGCTTGAACCGGAATTTAACCCTTGAATTGTGAGGAATGGCTGAATTTTCACCAGAATTTGGTATCTTGATACTCCAAACCCCATATTGGTTTTTCTCCATCATGTGTTTGCAGCCATCCCATCCATTAAAGTCCCCAATAAGCTGTGCCTCCCTAAGGTACAAGAAATATAGCTTCTATTTAAGCGATTAAGACAAATATTATGCCTCAAGAGGTTATGAAATTGTAGTTCAGAAGCTAATGAACTCACTGAGCAGCAGGAGCCCATTCACGGTACACAATTCCATCTTCTTCTCTGTTAAATCCAAATTTCACATAACCTAGAGATGAAGCAAACACGTTTTCAATAATCTGTTCTAAGAAACCAAAAACAAAAAGAAAAGTAACAATAAAAGTCACCTCACCTTGAGCAAATTCCTCTAGACCTCCTTCATATGTCTCAATAAGCCCTTTCTGATCCACATATTTCTTTATTCTGTACTTGAAGTGCTCCTTGTATGGTTCCAAGGCTTGATCGATGCTCAAGATTCCAATACTTTCCATCTCTTCATCAGTCATTGCCACTGCGGAGCTGTCTTCTGTGAAAACAGCTGAAATTTTGAAACTATCCTCCCCCTAACAAGGAAAGCACAGATCATGGGTTATTTTTTATTACTAAAAGTCGATACTGGGAAGTAAAGATTGGCTGTCGTCTAGTAGTTGATGATAAAAATGTCAAGCATAGCATAGGTATTAGGTACCTTGGCACATATTGAACTTGTTGACGGGGAAACAAGTCTGCGGTACCCAAGCGATGAGTTTTGAGATCCAGAGGTCACTAGTGGTGCTTGCTCTTTGCCAGAGTGCCGATTAATCTTCAAGGCCTGTAATAATAGTAGTAAAAAAGAGAGATGATAAGAAGAAGAGGTTTCAAGGTTCAAGACAAAACAGAAACTAATTAAGATCACAATTTATGCGGCTGGAAGAAAAAATTATTCTTTATAAAAATAAATTTAAAAAAAATCTATATGGTGGTTGTGGTTGTGGTTGAAGATGATGAATAGTGCATATTACCATCCAGGAAGGCTAGAAACGTATTTTCTGATTAATCCAACTGAATAGGGTTTAGGGTTTAGGGGGTAGAAATTAATTAATTAATAATTAAACTAGGAAAGGAAACATTTCGGTTGAGTTGCCTACCCTCAGTCTCAGGTAGCGGTTGCTTGTTAAGGATCCAAGAGCAGCAGCAGCAGCAGCAGGAGTGGGATGATGAAGAACCAAAGAACCCAACATCTTCTTCACCTACTCTCTCTCTCTCTCTTCCTATCTGTCAGACTGTCACTCACTCACTCAATCTCACTGTGAGTCGGAGCTAGACACAAATCTCATCTCTCTCAATACAGTAGCAATAGCATTTGATATTATCATGTCTCAGTATCTTAATTTTCCATCAACGACTGTTATTTCATGTTTTTAGATATTTAGCGACTACATTGCTGATGTAATATAATTACAGTAGAAGCCTAAATCTAAATAAATATAAAGTAACAAAAATCAAGCAATAAAAAATGGCAATGCGTGAAAGAAAGAACCGTGGGACATGAGTTATACCCAACATTTTGTCGTTCAATTCGATTGTTTCTGTTTCTGGGTAAGGGATTTGCTTGCGATTGGAACAAAGTATATATGCTCCCTCCGCTGCCCGTGAAAAGTCGTCTACAACCGTTGGTTGGGCGCTACGTGTATCGCGTAGCTTTCAGATAGTTCAGGGGGTGTTTGGTACGCTATTAAAAAATAGGGAGCTTAAAAACTTTGATTTTTCTTTAAAATAATGAGTTTTTAAATCTACTTTTAAAATTCAAAAACTTGTTTGACATGCAATTTGAAAACTATTTTCAAGTCTTAAAAATTTGAGAATTTGTGGGATGTTAGAAAAAATAACTAAAAAAATATTTTTTTTTGTTTTTAATAATTAAGGTGTTTTTTAGTTGTTCTTGAGTTTGAGTTTCTAAAAATAGGACTACCAAACAGATTTTCTTGTTTTTGGACTTAAATGCCCCTCAACAAGTAACAGCAATTAACCTAATTTGACAGAAAATTGGAGATTGGACTTGAATTGCTTAAATTGAAAATTACATGGGCAAAAATGATTAAATTGAAACCACAAGGTCCATAGTGTTAAAAGTGGTAAACCATGACTAAAAGTTACATTTTGCCCTATAAATAACGGGGAGAGGGAATTCAACCGTGAGGGTGGGTCTTAGTTAGGGTTTTGCAGAGCGAAAAACAGCAGAGAAGATAGTCATGAGCAGAAGCTTGGGAATATGCGAGGATAACTGGAACTGTCAGCTCGAGAACATCACCTACACCGCCAAGGTACCACTTACTCAATCTAATCTTTCTTTTGTTCCTTTTTTTTCAACGTGTTGTTAATTTTCAAGCCCTGCATTCTCCGCTGCCACGTTAAACCCTAGATTTCACGCGCACTGCACCTTTTATATAAATCTGACCTATCACTTGCAAGATTAGCGAATTTGTTTTAGTCCCTAGAGTGGTTGAATATCGATGCATAGTAGTGTTCCAAAACCCTGGGCTTTTAGCGGTGTAGCCCTAAAATCCGGTGAAAAAGGCGGATTGAATTTTTAAGGAACTGAAGTTCTACTCTGTGTGAGGCGATTGACCTAGATAAAGCTGAATGATTTTTTCAATTTTTTTAGGTTCAAAAAGGGTGGTGGAAAATCTTAAGAAATGGTCTAATTGCCCAATTTGAAAATGTGGAATAGAATGAGCCATAAGGTTTAAACTCGCTAATATCCTTATCATGGGGTTAAAAATCTTTTCCTTTGATGTACAGATTACATCTGGATCAAGCGATTTCAATTTAACTGGATTTTGGTCTCCTTGACTTAAACCAAGCACTTAATACCTTTTCTTTGTTACCGAAAAAACTGACACCTTAATTCCTTTGTCTGTCACATGCATTCCTCTTCTCTGATCTTCTTCCATGTCCTGATGATGATTCTCAATTTTGAAAAGAATATGCTATTGTGTTGTTCTTATTTTCAAAGCTTGAACAATTGGTTTATCCTTTTTTTTCTTCTTTCATTTAGTTTCTGATCATGTTACGCTCCTCTACAGGACGGAAAGGTTTCACAGCTTGAGCATGTTTTTATTCGAGGGAGCAAAGTAAGGTATATAGCTCGCTTTTGGTTTGACGGCATCCATTCATAAGTTATGTTGCTTTACTACTCCAAATTGACTGTTCCTCTGAAATTGATGTGAAATTTTGATAGGTTTATGGTCATACCGGACATGCTGAAGAATGCTCCAATGTTCAAGCGTCTGGATTCTAGAATCAAGGTAACATTTCATTTCTAATGATCATTGAATTCTCCATAGTGTGTACATTTTGTTTAACTAACCTTTGATTTTTAATCTTGAAGGGTAAGGGCGCTTCACTAGGAGTTGGCAGAGGTAGAGCTGTTGCAATGCGGGCTAAAGTAAGCTGTTCTTTACTGAATCTTTATCTATTTCCTATTTTGTCCATGGAACCTTTTAAAAACAGGTTATATTAAAAGCATAGTGATATAGAATCTGTGCATTGACAAACGTTATAGTTTAAAAAATTGACATGCCTGATGCCTTCCATTTGGACTTTCCTGTGTGAGAAATGTGGAGACAAGGCAGATTGTGTTCCTTAGTTTGGTCTTTTACCATCATATTTGAGGCATAGATATACAAAACTCTGAAAATATTGCTTGTCAAGCCTGACCGACTCTTTAAAAAAAGAAAAGAAAATGGAATTGGCTTCACTAATTATATATTGTTGTGCAGGCTCAAGCTGCCGGCCGTGGAACAGCTGGTAGGGGTGTTGTACCACCTGTTCGGAGGTAATCAGCCCGTTGCGTGCATACCTTCAAAACCCTAAAAAATGGTGTAAAAGAAGAGAGGAAACCAGAGAGCATCTTGGCTTATTGTATGCATGAATTGGATGCCAAATCTTTTGACGCTTGTGTGTCTGTTTTTCATGTAGTTTCTATTGTTAATGTAATAGCTATGTTTTTTTTAATCGACCCATTCCTCTGAAGATTAACGTGCTCAATCGAAATTATCATGACATCTATTATATTGAATCGAAAGTATACATGTCTCTTTTGTTACTCAACTTTTGGGCTTTTTTGGGGGCTCAACGAGCAAACAATTGAAAGAAGCAAGCCCCTAAGTTCCCTTCATTTATCATTTATACAGTTTAACTACTATACATGTGGATATACAGGACATAAATTGGATGGAGAGAAAAAAAAGTAGACTGGTGACCACTGACCAAATTTGCACAAGTATCAGTGCAAGTATCCGTATAGTTCCAAAAGGCAAATGCAGAAATTCCAGGGGTTGGAAGCATCTGTTGTAGGACCCGTCAGAACAACCCTAAAAAATCTATAAGGAAGAAGAGCGTTCGGTCCAGTAACAGGCCATGATGCAAATTGCCCAGGCTTGCATATTGTTTGGTCATTCTCGTGTACTCTCAGATTTGTCCATGTCTTCCCATCCAGAGATCCCTAACATAGACATATACAAAGGCTCACTTCATACATTCTTCTTCCATATCCAGCAATACTCATAAAACCCCCAAAACCAATATCATTAAAAAAATTTGTAAAAACGGCTCCAATATCTCATGTTTGGAGGTCTTTCCCATCCAATATCTCATCTCATGTAACTGAGGAAAAAAAGGTATTTTACCTGGAACTTCCAATATCTCATGTAAGCCCTGGATCCATCTTGCCTCAAGGTGTAGTAGTTGCAAATAAGCTGTATCAGCCAATTTTCATGCATCAGAGAGCCAACCAAAACAAACTCCTATGCACTAGACAGGAAGGTAGTCCAAAAGAACATGATTACGAGGACGTAAAACATTTTCAATTTGTCAACTTTATTAGATTACGATGTTCTACAAAATGATGATGTTTATATGTAAAAAGCACATTGATGATATCTATTAATGAATGACAGAGAGCGAACATTCAGAAATACCTGATGATCTGCACTAATGTCAACCATCCACCAGGTGCAATTGTGTCCATCTATGATCTGTGGCCCAGCAAAGGATGTTCCCTGATGTAGACATATACTGTTCAGTTACTATGCAAAGAAGCTCCAGCAACCACTTATTACATTATTTCAATTCGCAGTACCTTAATCTTTCAATTTACCGTACCTGGTAAGTTCTTGAGACCAAAGCCTTGGGATCAGTGAACCTAGAAGGGGGACTGCTGGCTGTAATAGTAATTCTCTGAAACGTGCAATTTATAAAGAATTGACAGGCTGCATTAAAAACTACTAAACCCATGGAGAGTCATAAAAGGGAAGAAAGATGAAAGAATTAGACCTTGGCCAGAACAGGATTAACCCACTGATGTTTCCCATATGATGTGCCTGCAAAGTACAGAACTCCATTGCTGTCCCCATCACGTATGTACTGGAGCTCCTTATAACTAGATCGTCTGTGTTGGATTCTCAGGCTACAAAGTAAAACCATGTTAACTGACTAAATATCCATCCACACATTAGTCAGGAATCCTTCTCAAGCACATTATCAATAGGATTAAAGAGCATGCAAATTATTAAAAATCCAAAAGTCCAAGCTTGGATCATGAACACCATACAACTTTGATGCACCATGTAAACTCCAAATCTCCTCAAAATTGACATAATGCAAGTCTTATTTCAATAATAATGGTGCATGGCACTCTACCATGTAATAATTTCTCTTTAAACTATTTCATGCATGTAGAATTTCCATGAACCATGAGAAATTATGGAAGTAAAAGGTTGGTTCTCCTGTACATTCTTCTCTTCTCAGCAACCAAATAAACAATTTAATTTGATGGCCTCCTTAAAGCAAAGATCAAAAAGTTTGAACATGAAAGAACAATGTAATACTTCAACACTCACTTATGCTCATTTTCTGGCCCTGCCAATCCATGCTTGATACAATTGATGGCCTCCTTGACCTGTGATATTGGCATTAAAAAAGAAAAAATCTTCAGGAATGATAATTATTTTCACACAGGCGTAGAGCTTCGTTTTTTCTAAAACTAATCATAAGAAATGCTCAACTCACAAGATTATTAAATGTAGAAATATTCTTGCTAATGTTGCTCTTCTCCAACTGCAAGATTATTATTGAATAATGGTGAAGTCAGACAAAAGATTTCAAGTTTTTGGTAGGCTAGTGATGCATCTCTATATCCAAGGTCCGCATACCTTCTCAAGCAAGGCCAAGGGCAGTAACAGAAATCGAACAAAGGACAAAAGGACATGAACTGTCTGCAGCCTATCCCCAAAAAGAAGTTCTGGGGTGGAATAAATTATCATTTCATCTACCACCTCCCACCCATACAATTCCTTTGCTTTCACACCCCACATTAAGATTGCATTGAGAACTTTTTCTTCAGATGTTACAGTCAAATCGGGATGCTGCAATAACATAATCTACTATAAGAAAATACTCAAAAATAGATTATGAAAAGGTACCAAATTCTAAATGTTTCCTCCAACTCCATATTCATAAAATCTTTTTAAGCAGCTGAAGTGACAACTACTTTGGCCCATTATATTAGGTTATCATACCAAACTTCAATTTATTTAACAACTCTGCTTAAGAACAGTGGCATCCTACCTGAATGATATTGCTAAAGGTTGTCTCATCTAACAAAACGAAGTCAATGCTTGCAGTTGTACAATAGTCAAAGTGCATTGAAAAGTTCATCTCGCAAGTTTCTTCAATAAGTTTACATGATGGAATTGATGAAACAACTTGAAGGATCGAACATACTGAGTCCTGCAACAAACCTCAACAGTTAGCATCAAAAGTAACAGTCCAATTAATTTGCCAAAACAGTCTGCTTCCACGTCCATTAAACTTGTGCATAATAGTAAAACTCTTGCTTTATGACCTTCCACTAGAACTCCATCCCTGCATATAATGTGCACATGAGAGGTATCAATATCTCTATAATTCATTATCATAAAAGGAATCTCTTCTTTTGTTTTCAGAAGTCCGAAACCGCAGGTCACTTCTCCGTTCTTTTATTTTAGTCATGCAAGTGCCATACTGTAAAACTGACAAATCATAGGCCTGATTTGAACTACTATAGATGAATTAAACTATGTAGAAGGATAAAGATTACCAAACTACCTCAGAGAGGTATTCTAAAAGTGTTTTGCAGCATTCCTGATGAAGGAGAGTGACTCCAAATTGATCAGCCAACAGAAAAAGTTGGAGCAATAAGGCACCAGAATCAATAGTAGCTTCTATGTTGAGTTCCCCACTATACATGAACTCGAGCAAACCCTTGAATGCTTCAGGTGATATATCTCTTAAAAAGACCTCAGAGGCAATTGTTTCACTCATTCCATTTGTGAACATCTGCATGATGAAACATTTTTCTAGAATTCTTATCCATGAGACTTAAGGAAACAAAATGTGCAGGAACAGAAAAGAGTGCACTCCAAGAGCACATTTATGACCAACATCATGCTCTTAAAATGATGCATTTCCCCTCCAGGAAAATTATGCAGTTATGTGGTTTATCTGAGAAGCACAGGGGTGTACACAAAACAGAATAAAAATATGAAGCAGAATAAAAATGAATAGGCTCACCTTTGTGAATGGGAGACTCCATAAACTAAGAATAATTTTATGTGACTGGGCAATAAGACCATGACCCTCGATGTGGATATTTACGTCACTGTACCTGCTCGTTAAATACAATTGTTTAAGCCTCAGTACATCGACGGGAACTCCAAAGGGGAAGCCTGTGCAACAATGTGGCCGAGTGTATGGATATGACAGTTCCACACTTTTTCCAAAGTCAAACAACTTTTTATTTATTTTCAATCGTTCCATTGCTTCCTCGCATTGCTTCACTAATGGAATAACTTCAAACTGTAAGCCTAGAGCCCTTAAGGAACCAAGTTGTGGTTCTGGAATCTATATCAAACAGTTCCATAAGACCTATTAGAATTGGCACCTCTGAAACAAAGTTAGAACTGCAAAGAGTCATCTAGGATAGCATATTTAGCATAAAAGTCTGTATCAAATAGTAAGGATGATGAACTGCACATAAAAACAACACACATGTAGGTTTTTTCTTATATATATAATCACAGAGAGAGAGAGAGAGAGAGAGAGAGAGAGAGAGAGAGGAATGTCATGCAAAAAAAAAACAAACACAGGGTTCTTGCAATAAAACATGTACTTTTCAAGGATTCCCGAGCATCTGTAGCAGAAAATAACATATATTTGTAATCTTTTGCATATTCATACAAATTATCCCATGCGTTTGAGATTTCAATAGATATGCAGTTCTGATTTCCCCATACTTTTAAGCCATACCTGTGTTCGACCTGTGTAAATGTATTGAAGCAGTGCATGGAGAACCGGATAAGTTACCCCCTTTAGCTGGATAACATCTTCCGATGAACTCAAAGGAAAATTACCAGATGCTACCAAAATAGTCTTGTGAGCAGGTACAGGGCTTTCTTCTGTACCAACAATGAAAAGAACATCAGATAACTCCCAACTTTCAAGGAAATTTTCAATCCCCCATTTCTCATAAACCGTTTGTTCATCTTCCAACTCCTCTTCACCATCCTCCTCACAAATGTACTCATTACAGTCCACATGCTTCCACAAGGATATATGGTTGTGAGTCAATGGCAATACACTGACATTCCTATAGCCAACATGTTTATCCCAGCTACTAAGCCCAACATAACGAACACTACAATTTGGATTTGAATCTAGCCACTGAAAGACTAGATTCTGAAAAGGGTATCTTCCCTTACCAATACTGATCAAACCATCACAGATACTGATCCAGTAGCTCTGAAACGCAGAAGAACAACAAAGTCCAACACCTTCCACATCAACCACGGTATTCCCATCTACCTCGATTTTCAACCGCCTATTCCTATGACTACCCAGAATAACAGTATAGTGAGGACTATTATCTCTTTTGTAGTGATAGTGCTGGCTCCCCACATTCTCCCGGAACACCAGCGTTACATCATTGTGAGCAAAAGCTTCAAAAGCCACGCAACCCCGCCCCGCTTCCCGGAACTTCAAATCCTTTCGCCAAGCACACTCAAACGGCGCCACAGTAAGGAACTTTTTCTCTTTCTTATCCATCATCTCTTCCTACTGAATATCAATCTCCCATAGATGGGCAGCACCTCGCAGTGCACCCTTAGACACCACCCTGACTATCTGGAAAATAAAGACAGATTCTGATTTAGGCAACAACATATACAACATCTTAGATTTTAAAATATGACTGGCTCTTTATAATCGGACATCAATTTCAGTTTCAATCAATCGAAATCACGTGAGGATGAACCTTATGCTCAAATTCTGACGTAATTGTTGTAACTCTAAGATTTGATGGGTAAACAGAAAGCTATTACAGTTGAAAAAGTAAGCAGGAAATTGCTAGAAGATCAATACCCTCCTCAACTTGCCACAAATATCCGAACCCACTAACAATGACAAAGATCAATCAGAAATCGCTGTCAATCCTAGACCACATTCTTATCCAAGTACACGATCAATACAACAAAGAAAATAAAAATATCTAAAAGGAAAACATCATCCAGTCAGTCCCCTCGCCCCCAAAAAAAAAAAATTCCAGAAACGACAAATGAAGGCCAGGCCATGCCTATGTCTATGTATAATAACAACAAGAAGAAAATCAGTTTCAGGCATAGAAGAATAGGGAAGAACCCACCTCAGAAATTTATTGACAGATGGAAAATTTCGTGGTGGGAATTTCTTGGTTTCACCTGGTTGAAGTTGAACAATCATCATTCATGGGATGGGTCCTATTTGTCGGTGAATGGGACCTGACCACACTGACCGCTTCCCTTCAAGAACACACAGACAGACCTTTAAACAAATGGGAAAGGCAATTTAAACAACGAATTTGATAGTTAAAATCAATATAATTAATTCCCTTTATTGACAATGGTAGAAGAAAACTTATTGACTGTCTGGTAGATACGTACGTGGCAGTTGTGCATGCATTTCAATTTGATCCGAAATTCCGAATCAATCAAAATCAAATAGCGTGCATGTGTGAGTGAGCATGGTCAAGATTTTGTCCGGCTTTGATCTCTGACATAGTATTTCCTCTTCTTTACTTTCTTCTTTCTGTTTTTAACCAATTACTGTTACTGGTGACAAAAAAACATCCTCGTTACTCCTTTTTTATTTTATTTTTTTCCCCAAGATCCTCGTTACCCGTATTGCTCTTTGATTTTTTGTGGCCAACACTTGGTAGTGGTCCAGCGGAAGGTAGGGGATTGGGCTGGGTTGGGGCTGGGACAGTACTCTGAGGAGGCGTTTTGTTCACGGAAAAAAAATGACTATCATTTCATTTCACATGTTTGATAAGTCTGAACTTATCATCTTGTCAAAAAAACTTATTCATATTTTTTTAAGGACTTTTTTAAATTAAAAAAAATGATAATATATTAAACTCATGCATACTATATATATGTTAGAGCAACTCCACCGCAGCCCACTTAGACAGGGCAACAGGCTCCCCCCCCCCGCTCGAAATGGATCTCCAGCACAGGAAAATCAGCCCGGGCAAGCCCAAGGGCAGATCCTGCATGGGCTGTTGCCCTAGGGCTATTGACGTCAGGGGTTGATTTTCAAATTTTTTTTGCTCCACGCGCCAACAGTAAAAAAATTGGAAAATCAGCCACTGACGTCAGCGCTGACCCACCAGCCTACATAGCCCAATGGTTATATGCCACGTGGCTTCTCCTGGAGCCTCCAATCAAAAAATCTTGCCCAATCCAACGACTGTCCAATTTTTAGCTTTAGAAAATTAAAAAAATATATCAAAAAATTCTGGAAATTTTTTCTATAAATACCTACCAATATTATTAATTTTTCACAACAAATCTTCATACAAATTCATCTCATTCCAATATTTTTCACTTTCCACACCAAATTATCTACTACAAAATTTCATTTGTGCAAAAATACAAATGGCCTCTTCCATCGAAGCCGGAGGGTCGTGGACAAACATTCGAGGAGGTCAAAATCTTGGCGACATGGTAAATTAAAAAAAAATTGTCATTTTATTCAATTTAATGTCATTATATATATATATATTTCTTGCATTTCCAATTTCTTTTTTTTTTTAAATAGATTATTCAAGGGAAAACAAAAAAGAGGAAAACCATTACACATGGTTCCTCAAGTGAACAATGCCCGTAGTCGGTTCCAGTGGTGCGTTCCGTGTCAAAAATAATGGCACTATTATGTCCTCCGAAGGAAAATACTCCCCCACGTCGTGATCCGGTGGAACCGCCTCCGCCAATGATTGAGTTGTCCTTGTATTCCATTGTGTCAGACTATGAGGACCGAGAATATTTCAATTGTATGATGAGTGAGTAGGTATTTCAATTGTATGATGAGTAAGATCTGAATTTTATAATAAATATGGACACATGGCAACCGAAAATTTTATTTGAAAATTTTATCCAAAAAATGTTATCTTAAATTTTAAGTGAGAATTTTATAATAAATAGTGACAACCGAAAATATAATCTAAAAAGCTCATCAAAATTAATGGTTTAAGTATAAAAAAAAAATAGAAAATAAAGTAAAATGAATAGTATTTGCCATTGTCCTAGTCTTTTGGGGTGGAATCAAAAAAGGTAAGGCTGCCACTATTCATGTGAGTATTGACAGCCCTTGTTTACCCTTGTCCTAGACTTAGCCCTTATGGGTGGAGATACTCTTAGGACTTAAACATAGAACCTTGTTTAGGGGGCAATTGCTACGAACCATTACACAAGTGGGTCCTTTGCAAAACTTATTCATATCTAAATGTACAAAATGGTGAATCACTGGTATTATGTGTCTGTTTGAGAAAGAGACAAAAAGTTAAGAGGGGTAAGGAGAATTTTAAGAGGAGTGTCGGGCTTTAAATGGTTTGCCTGATGAAAATCAGAATTTCTAAGAGAAGTGTAAGTAGACAAAAAGAGAATTGGAAAATCAGCAACCATTCTAAATTGTTCCAAACTAATTTATATATAAGAATGAAATCAAATATGAATGTAAAGGAGGGGACACATTGTCCTAGCTAACTGATTTAAACCAACATCGGCTAAGAGGATATAGTTTTATATAATAGAGCTTGTCCAATATAGACCCCTACATTTTCTATTTCCTAGACATATACCCATCACTCTATAAATCTATGTGTAAAACCCAATTTCAAATTTAAATGACCAGTAGGATATAAGA